AAACAAACAATATTTTCTTTTAGGCCTAATCACACATCCTGTCATGTACATGCTACAGTTGGGATACCTATGTGTGAGTACATTCAGTATTTTCCCAACACAGGTGTTTTTGTTTGCTACTCACTGGAAGCCGTGGATGTTGTGTGCTCGGAGGAGGCTGTAGAAGTTAATGGAGTGTTCTCCCCCGGTAGCGACTGTGCTCATGTCCTCTTTCCCCTCGCGGATCATGGTCCTCTTCAGCAGGCTGGAGCACTTCAGCGCCAGCTCTAAGGCGTCCATCCAGCAACGACCTGGAGACACATTCAGTTTGATTCAAACACACTCAAAGGGATGTACGACATATATTTGCAGGCTTTGCTGTTGGTTCATTATATATAAATATATCTGCAGTATATAATACACCATTTCTGATTTGATTTATGATGAAAAGAAGGGAAGTTCTATTATGGGCTAAAAATAACAAGTGATTCTTGACAGTTTGACTATTTCAGCACCACGGAGAGAGACTCAGACAGGAAGAGAAGTTGATGGACGTTTCAGCACCACGGACAGAGACACATCTTAACCATCCCATACTTATTTACTCACTAAGTCAAAAAGATTCCACGTATATCAAATGCAGTGAGATTGATTTAAATAAAAGCGATCAAATTATATCCCAAATGATTTTTTAAATGATTCTTACCAGATTTAAAACTGTGATTGCTAGAAATGTTAAATATTCTACCGTTAAATCCTTTTTCCTTTTGTTTTCAGACGTAGAAACTTAAGTTATCGTCTTCTCTTTTGAACTTTTGCCCTTTACGTTTGGATAATTTAGGGTTTTGTTGATTAAACTCCTTTGTGTTTGTTGTTGTTGTGCCCAATCAGGAGTAGCATTGCATGTTGGGTCTATGTTAAGATCATACACTTACCATCGGATTCAGAGGCAGCGCGGAAGATGAGGTGGCTGCCGGGTAATGGTTGAGTGATGGAGCCGACTGCTTCTCCTTTAGGACCCTGAGGACAAAACATAAAGGAGGAGATACATGTTTATTTATTTGTTTATTTCACACATGGCAGATAACACAGTCAAATGAAAGGTGGGTTATATATAAGGTCATCCTACATATTACAATAATACAGTCCTATATACTTAGGACACATATCCAGTTCCTGCTATGTTCAGATCCATTATGTATTTATTTCTACATAAAGGTGAATATATTCTTGTATTAATATCAGTCGACAAGCATAATGTTACATATATTATCTTTGAATTTTCCGTCTTTTACAGTGGTACTGTAGCATTCCAAAATAAATAGGTAGTGTGGGGGAAACTTCTGAAGCAAGTGGAGTCAGGACTCAGAGAGACACGAGGAGAGCTGGAGCTTTGAGGGCAAACACTGACGGTTTATTTGGAGCTTCGGCCGGAGAATTCACAAGACATGTCACGAGCCACGAGTTGACCACAGAGATGCCACAATCAATTCTGAAGCCCTCCTGTAGCTCCAGGTTTTAGTTCAGAGAGAATAATCAACATTCTTCAATAGAGAGACTAAACAGCTGAGGACACTGAATCACATTAGTTGTCGCTTATGGCTCGGGGTCATCTACACCCCGAGAAGGATGTGTTCCAGGTGTCCCACAGCAATAACATCTCTGACCGAGAGCTGCCCGGTCATAAACTGGTAACATCAACAATATGCTAGGGCAGCCCCTCCTTACGGCTGCTCAAGGCTGGTCAGCTGCGTCAGAGGGCGAAGGGTAAACATGTATACAGAATTATTCCCTGACAGGTAGGAAATCACCAAAAACAAGCAAATTGGAAGACACTTTTTTTTCTCTGGTTCCCAGGAGGGTTTTATATTTTATGTTGGCAGTTAATTTAAAGGTCACAGCATAGGTCTCAGATATATACAAATATATTAAAAACATGTCTATGAAGTGTTTTGCTCAAAATACAGATCACCCATTCGAGCCATGCCTCATATCCCTCTATTTCACTTCCTGTTTCTAAAGTGCTGTTTGGGTATAAAGCTTTAAAGAGGAGGGGTCTGAGCTCATGCGGGACCCGGCAGCTACTGTCTAAACTAAATGCTGCCGTGATGAAACGCCATATCATGGATTATCAAGGATTCTCTCTGTAACAGTCTGGAGCTCATGCAGCTCGCTAAATAGTGGGCGGGGCTTCAGGTGATCATGCAGAGCCGCGTGTCTCAGAGCAGCTGCTCTCTGATCTCTCTCTCTCGTCCGGTTACACGATCAGATCCAGCTCTCCTGATCGGCCTTCATAGAGAGCACCGATCAAACTATTAAGAGTGAATATCGGCCGGTAATGATCGGCGGCCAATCGATCGGAGCATCCCTAATTATTACCGGACATTTTGACCGGCAGGTTTTGAATTTACCGGTTTTTAATAAATGTTACCAGCTAAAAACCGGAAACCCTGGTGTGTGTGTGTGTGTGTGTGTGTGTGTGTGTGTGTGTGTGTGTGTGTGTGTGTGTGTGTGTGTGTGT